GAAATCTTTCCTCATTCCCTCCTTGACTGTATGTTAGGCTCAGGATCATCCTGTAATGTTTGTAAGCTTTAGAGTAATGGTGTCATTTGAATTATATATCAAAGATGCTTACATGCCATTGCCTGTACCTGTAGTTTACTTTTTTAGAATTTTTGCATAATATTCCACTTAATGAATATTCCACAAGGTGTACTATTTAATAATGCTCACTCACTGCTTTCATTTTTTTTTATTTTTATACAAACTGTATCACACACACACACACACTTACACATAAAGTTTCCTGTGAAATTCTTTTTCCTGTGTCCAGGTATAAGCTCTATTCCAATACATATATTTAGGAGTAAAAAAATTAAATCAGTATGTATGTGCTTACCCAATGTTGCAAGAAAATGCTAAACATTTCCAAAAATGGCTGTCCCAAAATACACAACTTCTAGCAGTTCATACAAATTCATTTTGACACTTATACTTTTCAATATTTAGTAGTGCTAAACTTTAACACTGTCAGCAATCTGATGGATATTAAATTTATCTAATTATAATCTTAATATCCATTTCTCTGATTATTAATGAGGATAAACATCTTTTCATATATCTGTGCGCTCTTCAGATTCCCTCTCTGTGAAATACCTGTTCATACTTTGTTTACATTTAATTGGATAATTTTCATGTCATATATTGACTTTTTAAATTTCAGAGACAAAAAGACTATTGTACATATCTTCTTCCAATTCAGGGCTTTACATTATTTGTTTAGTTCATATTCTAAATCTCAAACATTCCTTTGTGATCATTCCTTTTCTATCTTGTTTAAGATATGCTTCTCACCCTTCAGAATGGATACTTTCCTATATTGGCATTAAAATGTTGAAAATGAACCCTTAAAATTTGTCTTTAAAATATTTGAAATCATTTTGTGTACACATAGATTGTGATATAGTCACTGTCCCCCCTGTGGATAACGAGAACATGTGTTGAATAGCCACTCTCCTAAGACATACCTGTATTTTTGATGGTTTCATATTGTTTATGAATCTGAGTCCTTTTCTCCTTTCCATTTGCCAATCTTTGTACCTATATAAAGTGTTTTAATCAATACAGCACTTTATATCCTAATATATGACAGGTAAGCTCGCCCACCTCATTCTTAAACTTTGCTTTATCACACAAAATTTAGATCAGTTTGTCCACTTACCTGCAAAAATAACATTTGAGATATTTATTACAAGTACAAAAATTATAGATGTATTTAAAGGGAGCTGACATATTTGTAATAGCAAATCATTTTATCCAAAGACACCATATGGTTTCCTTGTTATTGAGGGTTTCCTTGTTATTGAGGGTTTCTTTAATCTTGTCCAACAAAGTAACATGGTTATCTATTTCTTTGACACATAAAACTTGTTCATTACTTTATAGTTATGTTGCTATAATAAATAATATCTTATAAAGTATATTTCCTAAATATTAATTACTTCTGAATAGAAATAAAGACTATGATGTAAACTTTATATGTAACCACCTTTCTGAAATTCTAAAAATTTGTCTGTAAATTAATTTAATTTTTCTATGTAGGCAAACACATCAACAACCAAAATTAAAGGTGTTGAGATACTTGTTAATTTATTTCATCAAGACATATTTCTTGATCTCTATCCTGGGTTATTTTGAACTACTTAGTCCATTTATGTTTTAATTAAATAAGCTTATTATTTTACTGTTATTTTTAATTGGTTCTTGTTGAAATACACATTACACTTTGAAATATTTGTTGCTTACTAACATGTTGTTTCATAGACAAATCTAAGAATATCTATTAATTCAAATACATGAAGACTTTGGATTCTAAATGTCTGACTCTGGTTTTTACTGTTGACTCTTATTGATGGTGATCTGTTTCCTTAGAACAGGTGATTTCATTTCTGAGCACATATTTAATATTAATCCCCAGGAATCCTAGTGGTTATCTTGATGCTACTGGACACTGTCAGGCACTTGGAAATCAATAGATGCCACCACCCTGAGATCACTGTGGTCTCTTTCATAGCACTGCAGGTCCCAAGCCAGAAGTCGGCCCCTTCTTTCTGGTTCAGGGCTTATTTATCAGGTCACAGTTGGGATGGAAACACTTGACCTTGGTGTTACTCTGTGCTTTACATCACTGCTCATTGTTTCAGCTTTATGATTTTTTTTTCTTTTTTGTCTGAGAGAGGATATATTCTTACCACAAATACTTAAAAAAATAAAACCTTTTAATTAGGATTTATTTTTGTATGTTAGCTTTTTGCTTGATTTTTAGTTGGAAGGTTCATAATACTATCAAGAATAGAATTTACAGACTGAAACTTTAACTTTGCTTATATATAATTTGTAAGATAAGTTTTACAAAAAATAAGAAAAAATAGGGTTATATCATAACTTAGTTTGAAACTCTGGCCCCTATAACCCTAAAATTAGACATTGTTCTATAGGGAAAAAAATGCTCACATTTAATACTTCATTAATTAAATCCACAAAACATGTATTAATATACTTTTGTTCCTTCATGTGCCTTTACCTCATGGTACCAGGAATCTCAGAGAGGCTGACCTAGACATCTTAAACACACACTCTTGGTTTTTGATTAATATTAATTAATATTAATATTGATTAATATTACCTATAATTTGAGGTTTTATGGCTGAGACTGAAGGCAGCAGAGACGAGCAATTAGGCAGAGCATCCAAGGCTGGTGTGGCAGCTCCACCATGTAGTGAGTCAAGCTCTTACTGATGTGTCACTTCAACAACCCAACAAAGTTTCTCATACTGCCAGATCCAGAGCAACTCACTTCCACAGTCTTCTAAGAGAAAAGAAAACAGGAAACCATACCTCTTTCCATTAATGAAGATAAGAGACTACACACCAGTTGTCCACATATCATACTGACAATCACAGGACACAACTAGTTGAAAAGAGGCTGGGGATTATAATATCTATACTTCATTGTTTCCAGCAATATTTAGGGAATCTGTTACTATAAAATAAGCAGGATGGCCTATGCCTATCCGAGGTTAATATGAATGTCCCCTTTCTTTGTTTATTGCTATATTCTCTGTCAGTGCCAAAACACCATGATGCGAAGAATGACTGCATAATCTCAATGGTTTAACAAATGTACATCATGTCAAGCTCCACATATATTAAGAAATATTTAATTGAAAAAAAAATCATCAGTTTGAGATATCCTCCTCTCCCAAAAAGATTCTGAGTAAGGATTCAGGTGCAAGTAGCTCATTTGAAAAATGATCCCCAATAGTACTATCATGACCTGGGGAAATGAGTCAGGGAGAAGAGCCAACAATTTGCCACCTTAGGTAATCAGGGCCTGGAGCCATTGGGGGTCCTCTAAGAAACTGTGTGCCCTGCACCTCCAATCTGTCCAATAAAGGACAAGGAAAGTAGTGCAGTTACCACATCCACCAACTTCTAACATATCATTGGTTTAAGGTTATCCCTGGGGAGATGACTCTGACAATATTGCCCTATCCCAGGCATGGTCCAAGCAAATACCGCTGTTTCCATAATCTTGTCTCACACACACACACATACACACACACACACACACACACACAGTTATACATGAGAAACTTAGTGACAATCACAGGGCAAAACAGTATCTGTGCAAGGAATTTTGACATATCCTCCTGTTTTTCCAGAAACTACTACCAAACTAGAGAAAAATCTCTCTAAAAAGAGATAGAATATTATAACATTCCCTACTCTTTTAAGCAGAATAGACAGACTGAAGATTTGATGACTCAGCTGCCTTGTTATCAGTATCATCCTCTCTCTCTCCTTGTCTGTTTCTCTTTCCATCACTCTCTGTCCAGTGACTAAGACAATCTGCCAGGAATGTGTTCACTGAATTAATCCATCTGGTCCCCAAACTCTATCCTAACATCTGAACAATCTGGCTGGTCCTTCAAACATTGTCTCTTACTCCGGGAAACACTCTCATAGGCTCCATATTTTCCTTCACCTTTATATTTTAAACAAAATGTATAATACAATGCATTCCTCTCCCCATTTTTATTCTTTAGTTATTGTATATGATCTTGCAATAAAAATCCTTTTATGCACATAAAACTTTTAAATATGTATTTATTTAATTTGGATAAACTCCCAGAATAGCGGACAAGAGGCATGTCGGTATTTATTGCCCTAAAAATGTCTTCTTAAAATATTCTGTAAAAAGAAATGCTCCAGTTTAGATTTCCACTAACCATATAGGTGCTTCATTAATTCTTGCCACCGCTAAGATAAATCATGTTAACAACCTACTTCTTTATGTCCCCATCTTTCTCTCTGGTCACACGGCCACATGAAGACATATACAAACATGAAGAGGAACATGTGTGTGCATTTCTCCGTTCCCTGACATTCTTACTCAGCCATCTCCATATACATGAATAGCTAATATATCTTTTGAAATAACTCCTATTACATAGTATTAATTCACCAATTTATCCTGCCAATAATTGGTATCCAAGGTCATTTCCAAGTTGTTTTGTCTTATTTTGTTCTATTTTCCCAACATAAATAATGTTATATTGAACATTCTTTCACAAAGATTGTACTTCCCTACGGCTTCTCTTCTTAATTCTGCAGAGAGAGATACATACAAGTCAGATCCCTGTGTCAGAGCTTCGTGCATTGAAAATTTCATGGGTATCGACAAAGTTATTTCCAGAAAATACTACATCTCATTACACGGGATATATATACATGTGTGTATTTCTTCTCCCAGCCTCACTTATTCCTTATCTCTTTTCCGGTCTTTTCTTTCTTTTAATCACATTAGTTGCTTTCTTTTGAAGAATGTCAAATCCAAATAATGACAACAATGATCCTAGTAATTTTCTTCACTTTATAGGATATCATTTTAAAGTCTCACTGTTAAATATAATAATTGCTATAGATTTCTGAGAAATGTTTGATTAAATTATTAAAAGCCATATGTATTCATTGACACCTAAAAACTTCAATGAGATTTTATTGTATATTTCATCAAAATATTCTTCTGCCCTGTTAAGATGATAATATTGTTTTTTCAATCTGTTAATGTGATGTATAACATTATTTTTTAAATCCTGTTATTCCTAATATGATTATCTACTTTTATCACTTAACAAATTCCTATGAGTCCATATTTTTAACTCACTTTTGAGGTATTCCACTAAATATTTCTGTGCAAACCAGCTGCTTTTGAAAAATATTTTATGCTCCTTTTCTGGATTTGTTATTAGTGTGTCTGCCTTCAGTAGCTAAAGGTCAATGTTTCTTTTATTATATTGCAGTCTCTCTTAACATGAGTAAAGGTCCTTAAGTTCTAGAGAGCACCAGGAAACTATTTACGCATGCATTCCACTTTATTTGCCATTTGGTCATACCGAATTTTACAGGGTGTGTGTGCGTGTGTACAATAACACCACTTATTGAACTACACCATGTTTTACCATGTGGTTTTTTTTAAAGATTTATTTATTCAAGCATACAAGAACTGAGGTACATGCCAGAGGTGTGGGGTGACAGGATTCGCCAAAGACAGAGTGGGGAGCAGAACAGTCAGATCTACTGAAATACACTGCTGAGGGGAGCAGCGGTGAGACAGGAGAGGTCTGCTACACCATGTGGGATGCTCCTTGGCCAGCCGGGGATCAAACTTGTGCTGCAATGGCTGCCAATAGCTTGGTAGAGTTGTCTTTAACTCCTGCGCCACCAAAGAGGCCCTGTTTTACCAAGTTAATTGTCACAACTAGAGCAGGGATTGTGGTAACGGATTGAGAATAGAAACTGGAGATTAATCTAAAATTTCCATTTAATCCTTGCCCATATTTCTAAACCTACACACCACCCTTGTGGAGTGTTATTACATATTTCGTTTGCTCTTCCAGCTCTACTCACTCGTCAGGTTCTTTTTCATTCCTCTGTGATTCATTCAAGATGAGTTTGTTTTGTAGCTGAACATCACTGTGCTGCCTTAACACTATTTCTTTTCATAAATCTAATACAATTTATTCATGCCATAAACCAATCATAAAGATTTAAGTTCAGAAATAGTTCAAGGTTTCTCTTAAGAATAAAACACAAAAGGCTGAGAATATGTGCTTTAAAAGATTCATTCTAGGACCTGAGAAGTTTTTCTTGACTTCTCATATTCTCCAAATTTTGTTCTAGACATTTTAGATAAATGAAGTGTTACCCTGATGGATGCCTAAAGTATTGATTATCAAAAATACACTAGTTTTCAGGCTTTATAGGAATTATTAAAAGTAAAAGACATAGTCATAAGATATTTTCTTTGAGGTAGAAATTCTTAGTATTCAATTAGATATAATCAAGGGTCTCCCCAGTGGCACAGCGGGTTGATCTCAGTGCTGTGAAGCTGTCCGCAGCCTCTGCAGGTCGGGTTCAATTCCTGGCTGGCCAGGGAGATACCCACATGGTGCAGCAGACCTCTCCAGTCTCACCAGCTGCTCCCCTCAGCAGTGTATTTCGTCAGTCTGCCTGTTCTGCTCCCTGCTCTGTCTCTGGCGAATTCTCTCATCCTCCCTCATTTCAGGCCTGTAACCCAGTTCTTGTATAAATAAGTAAGTCTTTAAAAAAATTAGTTATAATCACATTTTTGGATAAAAAATGAATGTCTAGGAAAATGGCAGTGACTCACTTTGCATCTAGTTTAAATGCACAATAGGTATAGTTTATCTTTCAAAGGTAATGTTGCTTTCAATAAATTTTTAAAGGGCCTCCCCTGGTGGCGCAAGCAGTAGAGTACCACATTGTGAAGCTGTCTGCAGCCTTTGCAGCACCAGTTTGATCCCGGCTGGCCGGCAAGGGTCCCACATGGCGAGTCAGACCTTTTCTGCTGCCTGCTGCTCCCGTCAGCAGTGTATTTCAGTCAGTCTGCCTGTTCTCTTCCCCGCTCTGTCTCTGGTGAATCCTCTCACCCTCCCACGCATCTGGCCTGTACCCCAGTTCTTGTATAAATAAAAAAAAATCTTTCAAAAATAAATTTTTAAATAAAAATAAATCAAAGATTTTCTGAAAAGCCAAAACACATAGGCCTTTAAACATTGCCACACTCCTATCCTTCTTCAAATTGTAGAGGGTAATAGCTAAAGATAGATCTCAACTTTATAGTTAAAATATACTATACGTGGATACTCAAAAAAAATTTAAATTTTAGTTTTTACCACTCAAGAAATATTGCAATAAAAATAACCATACACATATTCTTACATATTTATCTCAGCATGTGGCTATTTAAAATATATTCACACATTTACAATTAAAATTAATTTTAGGGGCCTCCCTGGTGGCGCAAGTGGTTGAGCGCCACACTGTGACACTGTCCGCAGCCTCTGCAGTGCAGGTTTGATTCCTACCAGCGGGTGAGAATCCCACATGGCGCAACAGACCTCTCCTTTCTTGCCCACTGCTCTCCTCAACAGTGTATTTCATCAGTCTGCCTGTTCCGTTCCCCACTCTGTCTCTGGTGAATCCTCTCCCCGTCCTGCGCATCTGGCCTGTACCCCGGTTCTTGCATAAATAAAAATCAAAATCTTAATAAAAATTAAATTAAATTATTGCTTTGTATTTATTGCATTAATTAAAAGGGGGAAGTATGAGGAGCCCCTACTTGCTATGTCTTTGTGAAACTGTTAAGTTTCAGAAAATACACATGAAATGGTATTTACAAAGAAAACCAAATTTTCTACATATTTTTGAAAATAATAATAAAGTAAAAAAATTCTGAGATATAGTTCACATCTCTCTATACGTGTTCATTCTATGATGAGTACATACATATGCATGGGAATAATAAGGTAAAATGGAGGAAAAAGCTAATCAATGGAAAGGAGAGAAATTATAGTTGATACAAACAGGAAAGGGATCAGAGACCACAACTAGGTTGATATTTTCATAGTTCATGTATAAAGCTGGTGGTGAAACAGTTTTGCATTTTTCTTAAACATTGATTTCTTTATGCATACAAGAACTGGGGTACAGGCTAGAGGTGTGGAGGTGAGAGGATTCACCAGAGACAGAGCGGGGAGCAGAACAGGCAGACTGGCTGAAATACACTATTGAGGTAGAGGAGTGGGTGAGACAGGAGAGGTCTGCTTTGCCATGTGGGTAGCTCCCCTGTGGGGGATCCAACTCATGCTGCAGAGGCTGCTGATAGCTTCAGAGTACTGACGCTTAACCCTCTGCATCACCAGGGAAACCCCAGTTTTGCATTTTATTCTGAATTTACTTTCTATATTGCAAATAATTCAAAACAAGTTTTAAAATAAAAACTAATTTGAGGGCCTCCCTGGTGGCACAGCAGGTTGAGTGCAGGACTGTGAAGCTGTCCGCAGCCTCTGCAGCACAAGTTCGATCCCCACCAGCCACGGAGCAACCCACATGGTGTGGCAGACCTCTCCTATCTCACCCGCTGCCCGCCTCAGCAGTGTATTTTGTCAGTCTGCCTGTTCTGTTCCCTACTCTGTCTTTGATGAATCCTCTCACCCTCCCGCACATCTGGCCTGTACCCTGGTTCTTGTATAAATAAATAAATCTTAAAAAAAAAAAAACTAATTTGATATGACATTCTAGTGCAAGCATGCACAGAGCAGGTTCATTATGAATTTGGACAGAGAGGTAGAAAGTCCGTGAGCTCTCAGAGGGTTTTTATAGACCTTTAATGCTCCTTCAGGGAACCAGGTACACAAGCATACCAGGCAGGGAGGCTGGCATGCACCTGCTGGGCAGGAGTAGGTGGGGGGCAGGCAGGCAATCGGGCCTCTCATTCCCCAGGAATCATTGTGCTCTTTCTCTGGCCTCTCTCTGGTATTCTCAGTCTCGTGGTCTTGCCTCATGGTGGTCCTGCAGCTATAGTTGTAGTCTCAGAGTGATGCTGCCCTTATAACTCCCCTTCCCTCAGCACAGGTGTCCCACTTGAATATATGCATGCCCCATGCACCCCTTACCCAGGTGTCCATAATCACAGGTGCCAGTCATAGATATAAGAGGGCAGAAAAAGCCTAATTTTTAACTCATTTACCCTACAGATATATATATATCTGGGTAAATGGGTAAATATATATATATATATATATATATATATATATATATATCTGGGTAAATGAGTTATATATATATGTAATGGGAATTTAAGAAATATAGCCTAAGTATCCAGCAAGATATTAATAGTAGCAGAATGAGGATACCAGGCTCACTTCCTCTGGACATGCTCAACAAAATTAGTGCCAAACAAAGCCAAAAGCATCTGAGGGAAAAATTGATTACCAGTGTATATAATAGAAGCATCAGACCAAAGGAACAGGTAGGAAAATCTCTAAGTTACCTTTGTTTAGACTTATAAAGAGACAGTACAACTCAATAAGGTAAGGAGGAGCTGATGTGCACAGTCCCCCAGTCTCCTGTCTCAGACACAGCCCAATACCACAAATCTTAAGACCCTGCACTGCATTGGATAATGGTGGTGGGGGCAGGTAAGCAAGCAGGCAACCAGGAAGGAGCATACTTTACCAGAGAGTGGGAGAGACAGAGAGAGGACCACTGGCATGAAACTGAGTATCATGATGCCCAACAGCTAAAACCTGAGTTGTGTCAGAGCACCTGACCTTCCTTATAAAAGAGGCTACTGTTGAAGTTCAGGCTGAAATACCTGCCACCCCTTACTCTAGACTGAGATATCAAAACACCTGCCATACCCACAAAGAAGTGTTTCAAATAGTTCAGATACCTGAATCTACTGGACCTCTAGTATATCATTTGTTGATACCAATCCCTGTGGCATCAACAGGTGAAAAGGCAACCATTGCAAATCTATTCCTACTAAAACCCACACAAAAATGAAAATGAGGACATAGAACAACACAGTATATGTATCACAAGAAAAAAGTCATGGAAAGAACACCAACTCAGTGGAGTTGCAGAAAAGACAGAAGTCCTGAAAATATTGATGGAACTTACAAACGCAATGGAAGATATAAAACAGCAACAGAATAAATATAATGAAAATAAGAGGCAGCTACATTCAGAAATAAGGAACTTAAGACACACTATAACTGATTTTTTAGAACACATTTGAGGGCCGAGATAGAAGATAAGCAGAAACAATGAAGAAAATTAATGATCTTGAAAACACAAGGTTGGAGAACACAAGAATTTAAAAAAAAAAAAAAAAGTGAAAACAATTTTAAAAGAAAATAGGGTAAGATGTATCTGGAGCAATGAAAGAGAAAGATTTTCATATTATTGGGGGCCCCAGAAGGAGAAGAAAAAGAAAGACAGAATTTTAAGTAATAAAATTTTAAGAAATAATCACTAAAAATCTAAAACATAAAAGAAACAGAGAGAGAGCCAGATAAAAATGGGGACTAGAAGAAATTTCCCCAAAGAAAAAGCCAAACAAAACTCACCTCCCCCCAAAAAAACCCTAAAGAATTGGACAAATGCATATGTTCAGAAGAATAGTTCAAAGTTATAAGTATGCTTATAGTTATAAGTATGCTCTAAGTATGCTCATGGATCTTGGACAAGTATGAATGAACTAGAAAAATCAAGGAAAATAGGTTTGAAGAAATCATAGGGTTGAAGAATATAATGATAGAAATTAAAATTAAATAGAGAAGTCCAACAAGCAACTGGATAAAACAAAGGAATAAATAGGTGAGTTGGAAGTAAAAGCAATAGAACTCACCCAGACAGGGGGGAAAAAAAAAAGAAGAAGAATTTTTTAAAATGAAGATACTCTAAAAGATCTTTAGGTCAACTTGAAGAGGAATTGTATTTACAATATAGGATACTAGAAAAAGAGAGAAAGGGAAAAAATATTTGCAGAATCACTGAAAACTTCCCTAACCTTGAGAAAGAAACAAACACTTACATCTAAATAGCCCAGAGAGTTCCAAATAAAAGGAACGCCCAAAGAGACCCAAACTAGGACACATTATAATCAAAATAGAAAAATTAAAGAAGGAGTCTTAAAAGCAATGTATCACATATAAGGGAAATCCCATAAAACTATCAGAAGACTTCTCAAAAAGACACTTTCAGGACATAAGAGAGTTGCCAGTATACTGAAAGAAAAGCAAAGCAAAAAACTTTGAAGCAGGAATTCTGTGCTCAGTAAGATTGTAATATTGATTTGAAGTAGATATTGGGAGCATTCCAGAGAAACCAAATCTAAAGGAGTTCATTGCTACTAACTAGCATAGCAACAAATGTGAAAAGGGCTCATCTAAACTGAGAAGTAGGACAATAAATAGAGTCAAAAAAAAAGTCAAAGAATAAATCTCACCTTAAAGGATATTCCAGTAAAAGTAGTGGGCCAGTCACTAATAAAGCAGACTGAAGAGTAAAACACAAGTGACATAAAATTAACTAAAGTTACCACAATTAGACCAAAATAATTATATAGCATAAAGATGTAAAATGAGGCATCAAAAATAGAAAGTTGGAGAAAGTACAAATGCTGTTTTTGAATGTGTTCAAATATGAGCACCTCTCTATTCAATACAGATCAATATATAGTAAGATCTTATATTTGATCTGAAACCTCAAACAAATACCAGTAGTAAAAACACAAAAGAACATAAAAAGGAATTTAAATATACCACTAAACAGAAATACCAAATCTCAAGGGAAGAAGAAAAAAATCACGAAAGGATCAAAAAAGAACTGCAGAATCAGCCAGAAACCAATTAGCAAAATGTCAAAGCATACATACCAATGATAACCTTGAATGTAAATATACTAAACTCTCCAATCAAAGACTCTGAGAGCTAAACACATAAGAATTCACTTCAGGCATAAGGATACTCGCAGATTGAAAATGAAGAGAAGGAAAAAAAATATTCCAAACAAATGGAGTTGGAAAAAAAAGTACATATCAGACAAAATAGATTTGAAAACAAAACTGCAATAAAAAAGAAGAGCATTATACCATGATAAAGGAGGCAATATATCGGGAACATATAAGAGCAGACACACAACGTAAGAACAGCAAAATATATAAAATGAATATTAACAAATACAGTGACAAATTAACACTGACACTGATATAGCCAGAATAGGGGATGCAACATCACATTTACATCAATGATAGAGCTTTCAGACAGAAAATCAATACGGTAGTATCAGTCTTAAATAATGCATTATACCATATAATATATATGTTTCTACTCAAAAATAGCAGAATACACATTCTTCTCAAATGTATATGGAACATTCCAAATACTCACATTCCAAATACTCACAAATCTCCATGAATTTAAAATGCTCAAAATCAAGTGAAGTATCCTTTCCAATGGCAAAGTCATGAGGTTAGAAACCAACCAGAAGTGGAAACCTGGAAAGAACACAAACACAATTAAATAGCATGCTTCTGAAAAACTATTCAGTCCCTGAAGAAATCAAAATATATTTAGATTTGAATGACGATGATGATAATGATAATGATAATAATACCAGAATCTTTGCAACAAAATCAGTACAGAAAAGTGTATAGCAAAACAGACCCATCACAAGGGGGCAAAATAAATCCTCAAATAAACAACTTCACACTTAAAGGAACTAAAAAAGTAGAATAAAGAAGACTAAAGTCAGTAGAAGAAATAATTAAAATCCAGGTAGAAAAAATTAAAAAAGAAAAAGTACAAAAGGTCAGTGAAACAAAGAGCTGATTTTTAGGGGGAAAAATGGTCAACAATATTGACAACCTTTTTATGAAAAAAAGAAAAGACTCAAAATCAGAAATAACAGCGGAGACATAACAATGGATAGCCAGAAATACAAATAATCATTCAAAACTATCATGAACATGTTTATGCCAGCAGACTGGATGACCTAGAGGAAATGGATCAATTCTGTGAATTGCACAAGCTCCCACACTGAATAATGAACAAATACAAAATTTGAAACGATTGATTACATGTAAAGAGGCAGTAATTGAAACAGTAATCAACCGCCCCCACACAACAAAGACAAGAAACAGATGACTTCACTTTGCAAGTTCTATCAAAAATTCAAATATCTAAAACCCATTACTCTCAAACTCATCCAAAAGTCATTTTATAAAATACATTAAATTTTTTATTACAAGATAAACATAATACTGATGCCAAAAACAAAAAAAAAGCACAAAAAAGGAAAGCTACAAGATCTATAACAAACATTGATACAAAACTCCTTAACAATATTTAAAAAACAATTAACAGTGCATTAAAAAGACTGAACACCACAAAAAATGGGAGAAAAAAATGTAACCATATATCGGACAAGGAGTTAATACCCCAAATATATAAACAATACATATTACCCCACAACAACAACAACAAAATAATGTGATTAAAAATGGTCAAATATAAAAATAAAATTTATTATTTAAAAAATAAATAAAAATAAAACAAACAAAAACTATAAAAAAAAATAAAAATGGTCATAGAGTCTAGACAGCATTTCACCAACGAAAATGTTCACAAGACAGCAGACAAATGAAAGATGTTCTACATTGCATATCATCAGGGACATACAATCCAAAACCACAATGAGGTCTCACCTCACACCTGCTAGAATGACTATTATTAAAAAGACAAGAAATAGTTAAGTATTAAAAAGAAAATGAGACACCGGAACACTAAAATTGATGGGAATGTAAATTGATGAAGCACTATAGTAAATAGTATGAGGGCTCCTCAAGAAATGAAAAATAGAATTATCATATGGTCTAACAATCCCACTTCTGGGTATATTTCTATAGGATTTAATGAAAAGAGGATATAAAATACACACAGGAACTCCATGTTTATTGCAGCATAACTCACATTAGTTTATATATATAGAAACGACCAAAGTTCTACAGATGAATGGATAAAGATGTTTTATATAACTGTATGTGTATCAGTGTGCACATATGAATATGACTCAGCATTAAGAAAGAAGAATACCCTGTCTTTCGTGACAACATGGGTGGACATTGAGAGCATTATGCTGAGTAAAGACAGAGAAAGACAATTACTGTTTGACATCTTATATATATGGAATCTGAAATAAGCAAACTTGTGGATACAGTGAGTATGTGGATGCAAGGCCTGAGGGATGTAGAAATTGAGGCAAAGTTCCTTGAAGTGTACAAACTTGCTGTTAGAAATAAGTTCTGTAAATCATATGTGCAGAATTGTGATTATACTCCACAATGCTGTATAATACATTTAAAGTTGCTGAGAGTCCAGATATTAAATGTGCTCAGCACAGAAAAATAAATGATCATTATGTGCCCTGATGGGGGGAAGGGGCAGTGTTGGCCATGTGGTAATCATACTGCAATATGTAAATATCAAAATAATATATTTTTATATAGTTATACCATGTTATATGTTAATGATCTATCAATCCAAAGCTTTTAAAAAGAAATGAGAATGGTGATTTTTGGAGAGAACTGTTGATTTCTGTAAAATGTGATCTTCGTAGGGCCTCCCCGGTGGCGCAGCGGTTGAGCGCTGGTTTGCGAAGCTGCCCGCAGCCACTGCAGCGCCGGTTTGATCCCTGGCTTCTCCCCGGCCACCGGAGGAGGGTCCCCCATGGCGCGCAGACCTCTCCTGCAGCCCGCTGCTCCCCTCAGCAGTGTACTTTGGTCCTCCTGCCTGCTCTGCTCCCCGCTCTGGCTCTGGTGAATTCTCTCACCCTCCCACGCTTCTGACTGTACCCAGTGCTTGTATAAACAAACAAACAAATAAATAAATAAATGAAAATAAATCTTAAAAAAAAAAAAATGTGATCTTCGTAAAAAAATGTCATATGTTCATTGAAAATGTGCTGAGTGTTGATTAAATGATTTGTAGCTCACATAATTGAAGAATGACAAGATGTCATAAAACTGAAAGGTCCAAAGAAAGAATGTCAAATGACCCCTAAGTTCAACATAGCGTATTTAGGACAAGAAGATGCAGCATATCAGGAGATGTGAAAAGATCTGCTCTTTACACAATAGACTGTGGTGGTGCACTGTGGGCTATTTGGGGGTGGATACACAGCAGTGGTAATACCTCACGGGGGGTATACAAATATTACCTAAATTAAAAATGAATAAACTTCAAAAACAAAAAGTAAATAACTCAGAAAAATTGGGAGTATACAAGATTAATTTCAAATTTTAATACATATACAATGACAATAAAAAATTACTCCTTGAAAACCAACAGAATTCCTTTATATGTTGTTTAGCAAACAAAGCAGTAAATAAAAATGGAGGGGTGTATCTCAGGGAGCAAATAGTATGTATATGTATTTTAATATATCTTAAAATAGCCTGTAAAGTCTCTTATAATAGACTTACAGTATCTTATAAGATGTTAGAATGATCTTATATAACTTAAAATATCTTTGCAATTATATTTATGAAATTCTTCTTTAATCTTTAAGGAAGGGAAGGAAGGCTAGAAAACAGGGGATGGGAGAGAAATTTTTCACTCAGTAACACCTTTATGAAATTTTTATTTAGGAAGCTTGTTAATATATTGCATATTCAACAATGAAATTAAAGAACTTTAACAGTGGAAGGAAGAAGAAAAGAAAATCCAAACCTAACTATTTGCAAGATATAGGCTGGCACTCTGAACTACAGAGATCCTTAATTTCACAGATAAATAAAATTTTCTGTGAGAACAGAAAACATAGTCAAACAACTAATTACAGGACGAATGTTGTAACCCTAATCATTAAGTACTCTTTTCTCATTTCTTATTCACTGTCATTATCGCAACTGTTGACCATGGAGAAATGGATTTTAAGAGGGTACTTGGATTTTTAAAATTTGAAGGAAATTCTGTAGTGCATCTAGACATATTATTTACTCATTTATCAAACTTACTGAATGCTGACCTGATCACCCACTTTGTGTTATGGCCTTCTTGGGCCTTGCAGTGTAGCAGGTTATATGGACAAATGGTCACACACACACACACACACACACACACACACACATAGATTCAAAATAACATTAGGGGCCTTCCTGGTGGTGCAAGGGGTTCAACACAGCACTGTGAATCTATCCGCAGCCTCTGCAGCACGAGTTCGATCCCCAGCCAGGGAGCTACCCACATGGCACAACAGACCTCTCCTGACTTGCCCGTTGCACCCCTCAGCAGTGTATTTCAGTCAGTCTGCCTGTTCTGTTCCCCACTCTGTCTCTGGTGAATCCTCTTACCCCTACCCCCGCATCCCTAGCCTGTACCCCAGTTCTTGTATGCATAAATATATCTTTAAAGTAAAAAAATAACATTAGTATAGAAAGGTTGTGTATATATGTCACAACTATTCAGAATATGTCTTAAAATAATAAAATGCCTTATTCCCAGGGATCTAAGCAGAGATGGGCATCATTATTTCTTGTAATATGTAATGGCAAAAAAGTATTTAAAATAAAAGATTATAGGCTTCATGATCCACTGGGCTCCTTTCCATAATGATGAAGAGGACAGCAGGTGCTGACATCTCTACACAGAAGGAAGGCATCCATAGTGTTCTTTCTGATATATTTGATATATTTGAAGTTTAATCCTTCATTATTGAGCAGAGATTACTTTCACTGGAGATTCTGAAGGAATTCATCCACTATGGATGAGTTCAAAAGAAAAGAAAATTCAGAAATGTTTGGAGTAGACAAAAAAGACTTCCATTGGAGAAGAATTTCAGATGGATAAGATTTTTGCAGGGATATAAGATAGGAAAGATGGCAGAGGCATTTTATGATTAATAATCTCTATCCCCTAGGTAGGAGCCTGCTGATCTTAACCAACCTGAAGTAATTTAGCTATTTAATTTTCAAGAACTCTTGCTATCTAAGCAGGTGCTAGAAGTCAAGCAAGCAAATAAATTTAATATTCAGGAGTGAAGCTAAGTTTTGCCTTTCCTGCAGTGTTACATAATTAAGATAGGAGTTAGATAAGAAAAAAAGATAAGCAAACATACTGCTTTTGTTATTGTCTATTTGGGTGGTAATCTGGAGTCTGAATGATTCTTCAAAATCCATCTGCATTGAGTTGAAATATAGTTTGAATAATAATGCCTGGAATTTATATAAAACCTCTCCAAGGAGCTAAAGGAGTTTTGTGGACATTATCTAATTAGTTTTTTTAACAGCCCTCTGAAAAAGAGGACTAAGGTCAGTGACCCCCATTTTTGAAAATGAGTAAATATAGATAAGAAATTCTAATGAGCATCACTTTGCAATGCAGTAGTCATGGCCATGAGGAGATATTCGGCATTCCTCTACACTTGTCAGGTAGAGGCGTGTACCTTGGTTCCAGAGACCTGGTTTGAAATCCGAGCTTTACCAGTTATTAAACTGTG